TATGAAATCTATCAAGTATTCAATATATTCAAAATTAATAATTAATTGTTCATATTCATTTAATTTGTGGACTATAAAATTCATTAATTAAATCTTCATTGCACACAGTAAAATCTGGCTCCTACTTTTGGGATCCCAGACTTTTCCATATAATATGAATAAAAAATAAGTGAACAAAAAGGAGAAAATAAAAAAAAATAGGGAGAAAAATAAAAAAGTGAGAAAATAAAAAAAAATAAAAAATAAAAAAGAGAGAGAGAAAGATGGGATCATGAGATCAGAGAAGGATGGGTGAGAAAAGGAAAAAGTAAGAGAGAGAAGCGGGAAAATAGAAAATGTACATGTAGGATATTTTTTGAAAAATATATCTCAGCTGTTGTTTTATATTTTGAATAGATCTGGGCCGTCCAAATGTCCTAGTAGGACAAATGTGTGTAGAATAAATTCAAAAACCATCCTACTTTATTATATAGATGTTGAAGATTCATATGAGGTCTAAATTTACGATGTGTATCAGGTATTCAATATATTTAAAATAATAATTAATTGTTCAAATTCATTTAATTTGTGGACTAAAAAATTCATTAACATAATCTCCACTACACAGTAAAATCTGACTCCTAATCTTGGGGTCGCAGACCTTACCATATAATATGAACAAAAATATGTGAACAAAAAGAAGAAAATAAAAAAAATAAACAAATAGAGAGAAAAATAAAAATAGGAGAAAATAAAAGAAGAAAATAAAAAGAAAAAGGAATGTGGGATCATGGGATCATAGAAGGATGGGTGAGAAAAGGAAAAAGTAAGAGAGAGAAGCGGGAAAATAAAAATGTACATATAAGATATTTTTTGAAAAATATATTTCAGCCGTTATTTTATAATTTGAATAGATCTGAACCGTCCAAATGTCCTAGTAGGACAAATGTGTGTAGGACAAATTCAAAACCATCCTGCTTTATTACATAGATGTTGAAGATTCATATGAGGTCTAAGTTTACGAAATGTATCAGGTATTCAATATATTTAAAAATAATAATTAATTGTTCAAATTCATTTAATTTGTAGACTAAAAAAATTCATTAATATAATCTCCACTACACACAGTAAAATCTGACTCTTAATCCTGCAATCGCAGGCCTTTCCATATAATATGAATAAAAATATGTGAACAAAAAGGAGAAAATAAAAAAAATAAACAAATAGAGAGAAAAATAAAAATGGGAGAAAATAAAAAAAATTAAAAAAAAAAAAGGAATGTGGGATCATGGGATCATAGAAGGATGGGTGAGAAAAGGAAAAAGTAAGAGAGAGAAGCGGGAAAATAAAAAATGTACATGTAGGATATTTTTTGAAAATATATTTCAGCCGTTATTTTATAATTTGAATAGACCTGAACCGTCCAAATGTCCTAATTGGACAAATGTGTGTAGGACAAATTTAAAAATCATCCTGCTTTATTATATAGACTAGCGTATGCCCCTGCCTGAAGGCACGGTGCAATTAATGATGACATTAAAATATAAATCAAAATTAGAGAGGGATGTATTCAAATTTTTTGTTTTGTTTTGTTTTTGTTTTTTTTTTCTCTTTTCAAAGAGTATGTAATGAATTCACGGAAATGAGAAAAATCCCTAAATGAAGACATGAAACTTAAATGAAACACCAATTTATTAGTAACTCAAATAAATTTCAGGAACCCCCAAAATTAGGAACATCCATGACTCTCAAAATGATGTGGACTAATCATATATTTTTATTTTTTTTTTCCTTCCTGGACTAATCACAGGTGAGTAAGAATTATAAAGTTGTATTTTTTTAAGAATATGTAGCATTTTTGATATTTTTAATAAAAAAAAAAATCTTCCCAAGATAAATTGCACTTCTCCCAAATTAAAACACTTTTTATCAGAACACAAATCATATTTGAAACACTTCAATCTCATTTATGCTATATTTGGTACACTGAAATGAGATGAAATTAAATGAAATGGTAATTCATTACACTTTCCTATGGAATGATCATCTCCTTATAATAGTTAATGATGACTCTTATTGTAATGAATTTTTTATTATTATTTTAGTCAACCAAACATGAAAAGTGTAAGGAATGTTTGAACTTTATTGCAGTGAACCAAACACTACCTAATTGATCAATTATCAGGAGTAAAGTCCTATCAATCAATCGTTGAAACTAATTGATTAAGTGATTTGATTTTTTAAATTATTATGTAAATGAATTATTATATATATACTCGTATATTTTTCCCACTTTCAACCCAATTTATATATAAAAAAATTAACTGGAATATTAATTATGAAAGATGATAGTTATTGTGTTATTGTGTGTGCACCTATAGATGCAAAAATAACTAAAACTTATTTAATAGTGCATGCTTACCATCTCGCACATGATCAACACCACTGTACATGTGAATATAATAGATGAATAGTGAATTGGTAAAAAAAATCAAAGACTTATGTTTCAAATACCATGAAAAGTTATTAATTTTTTTTAAAAAAAAAAACAAATGGAAGTAATTGCAGGCCATCACATGAAACAATTTTTGATAAAATCACACAATATAAAATCACATCCAAAAAACAAAATATCCTCACAAAGGAAAAAAAAATAAAAAAAATAAAAATAAAATAAAAAATAAAAAAAATCAGACAATTCAAGAAATGGGTATTGATAAGAATACAAACACAATTCTAGATCTTCAATTTGCACAAACAAAATGATAAAATAATAATAATAATAATTAAAAGGAAAAAGAAACAGGATGAATCAATGAATGAATAGGAAACTGGTACAAACATCCATCCAAACAATGGTGTTATAGAGATGGAGGCCAATAGATTTGCTCCAAATGACCGTTGTTTCTCTCTGATTGGTGAGTCCGATTGCCTTAAGTCCACCGTCAACATTGTGCCCATCTACAGTGGCTTTGTCAATTGCCTTGCTCATACAAATCTTCACTCTCCATAATCTCCATCGGATCGTGCTCTACCCATCTGTAGATTCACAAACAAAACAACAATAAAAAAACAGAGCAATCACAGAGAGAGATAGATAGATAGAGAGAGAGAGAGTTCTTCATACCCTGCTTGTGGGTAGAACTGGAGTGGAGATGACTGGAGGAAGTGGCACAGGTGATGACTGGATGAGGTGATGAGCAGCACCATGGCTGAGGGTGGGTTTTTTGAAAATTGAAAATTTGGTGTGAGATTGAAAGAAAAAAAGAGGAGAGTTTATAGAGAGAGTTCGAAAAGCGTGGGCCTCTTTTTTGTAGGGAGTGGATGGGTGTGTTTTGAAATTTAAAAAGTGGATAGGTGAGGTGCGACAGATAAGGATGGGTGGTTGCAAAGTTTGTGGCTCTTGGGCGGGAAATTCAGGTAGAGTGAGAAAGAAGATTTTCATCTGAGCTATCCATCTAAATATATAAATGAATCAGGACCATTAAAATGTCCTAGTAGGACAATTGTCTCTAACATATTTTCAAAGACCTTTGTGCCTTAATAAATAGATATATAAGAGGCGCTTAATTGCTTGAGATTCGTCTTTTCTTTCCAATTTTTCCCTTACATTTTGAATAATTTACTAATTATGGCCTATATGTTGAGTGATGATTTTTTTCGTAATTACGCAAGCATTTTTGGTCAATTATGCAATAGGTTTTTTTATAATTACACAAACTTTCTTAGTCAATTATGAAATAGTTTTTTTTTTGAAATTATGCAAACATTCTTGGTCAATTATGAAACATAAATATTTTATTTTTTGACAAATTACAAATACACACATAAAGTTTGTTTAAAATATGAATCGGTCCTATAATACTAGAAATTATAACTATCGTTTGTTATAAATTTTAATTTAACACAATACTCAAGGGGAAAAAAAAAGAAAAAAGAAGAAGCTATTCTCCTATGCAATAATAAATTATCAAAATTGTTTATTGAAAAATATTTTTCATATCATTAAAAATTGTTAATTGACTTAATGATTTATTTATTAACAAAAGGGTTAATTGAAAAATATTTTTTTTATCATTAAAAATTGTTAATTTACTTAATGATTTACTTATTAATAAAATTGATCATTTGTTATGCGAGTATGATTTATGAATTAATAAAATTAGTCATTTGTATATATATATATATATATATGTTTTTTCTTTTGCTTCTTTATTAGTTCAGTGACTTATCTTGATAGTTTTTTTTACTTAGGAGAATTATCTTAATATTTGTTTTATACTTATCTGTTGAGAAAAGTTACACACCATAATTTTTTATTTTTTTATTTTTTATAAATTCAGAAGAAATGTTAAAAACTCATAAATTCACCCAAAATGATATGGTAATAGAATTGGAGTCGACATCATTGGGTGTATAACAAATCAAAAAATATACATATCATATTACGTAATTCTATTATATATCTAATGATTTATTCTATTCAATTTCATATAACAATATTTTAACACTACAAGAAATTTCACTTTTGGCGACTAAAATTTTAGTCGCCAAAAGCTTTGTTTTTAGTCCCCAATTACTTTTGCCGACTAATATATTTGGTCGCCCATTTGGTCGCCAAAAGTGGCCTATTGGCGACTAAAAACCTTAGTCGTGCCATATATTTTTTTTAGTCACCATATTTTTAAAATATATATATATATATATATAAAGATATTTATTTTTAGAGACTAAATTATTTAGTAGCCAATTGAGAATGTATGTTTGACAACTAATTATTTGATAGCCAAAAATTTTATTTTTTGAGAATTGGCGACTAAAATTTCAGTAGCCAAAAGTTTCTTTTTTACAATTGGCGACTAAAGTTTTAATAGCTAAAAGCCAACCCGTGACATTTGTTTAGTCACCAAAAGGTCTTATTTAGTTTTTATAATTTATTCTGTAATATTTTTTGCACCATCTATAACCTATGCATATACAAAATTATTCATCTATTCATTCATTCATTCAATTCTTAACCATTCAATAAAAATATTCTCCACAACTTGTACCATTCAATTTTCAACCACATACAAAACTTAACTATTAACCATACATATCAAACAAAATAAAAATTCATAAATATAGTATAATCTAACAAATACATATACTATCCAAACCAACAAACTCATGATCGTAACTTGTATTCCCAACACAAATCTCTCTTTTACTTTGGACAGTTGTGCATTCACAGCATAAATTGATTCTTCAAGTTGCTAGAATTAAACACAGGCAAATTTCATTTTTATCTATCAAGGAATCTTTTCTCCACAACGGTTTCATCTCAGGGCAAAAATTTCCTGCAACAACAATACTCAACAATATTATGCTTTGTTTGGTAGGAGGGAAATAATAAGAGAAAAAAATAATTGAGAAAGTTATTAAATATTAATCCCACTTCAAGTAAATGTGCAGCATGATAACTGTTTTAACTATTCTCTGTCTGAGCACTCTTTAAAGAAGAGAGTGATGATATCTTCTCTACCGCTCCAATGCTCAATCCAGTTGAAAAATCCCCCTCACTATTACAGAAAGAATTCTTAACAGCGAAAGGAGTCCTAGTGCTAGCTGTAATTTCAGATGTCACTGGACAAGGAGAGATTGAAGTGGGCCCCAATATATCACTTGGCGATCCTTCCTTTTGACTGAGAACAAAGAACTCTTTGGAGCATGACAACTCTGGAGCATGAAAATCTAAGTGACTAAAGTCAATTTGAGTAATAGAATTTCCAATGACCTCGTTCTTGGTCAAACCATCAACTTGGTCTTCAAAATGGGCATTCTCCTTTTCATTGCTTTTATAAATAACCCTCAACTAGGTCTTGAGATGCTTTACACTACAAATTGCATCTTCACCCCCTTTAGATGGCTTTATATTTTCAGCATTACCATGGGTATCCCCTTTAATAGGAGCAATCTCGATATCCTTTTTGTTAAAATTACCCTGTTTTTCTAAGTTTATTTCACTATCCAACATGCCTGGACTTCCAGGCTTTTCAGCATCCAGACCAGAATTTGGAACATCATTGTCTGTCTCATTATGGGCTTGAGGTGATATGCTAAGACATTTCTTTAAGCCTCCAGAAACGCTAGAGACCTTCGTGGAAGCATTTGATGGTTTTTGAGATGGAAGAGGTGACATGGGTTTCTGGCCATCAAGTTTCATGTTTGCAGCTGTTGACACTGTTCTTGCAGGTTGAAGCTTCGCAAGCTTTGTTTTGCTTGAGCCTCCACTTGGCCTATTGATTCTAGCTCCAATTTTGGGACCCGCTGATACACCAGAATAAGATTGCATACTTCCAGTAGGGGTACAAACCACAGGTTTCACCCGCATGATATAGAAATTCCATATATATATACTTTCGTAGCAGATTAAATTCTAAATAAAGCAATAGAACAAGAGTTGGTTTTGCCATAGTTCTCCACTGACAAAGAACAATAAACTCCTTTTGGCAAAATCAATTCCCAATAAGAAACTTCAAAATAAGAAGAAGCACTCATAATATCAAAAGTAGAACTGACCCCATCGAAAAAACCAATCTTTGGTGATGGCATTCGCAGACCTGAAGGTTGTACTTTAGCTGGTCAAGGAAGTGTGCTGATCTGCAGATTTTCACTAGCTAGTCGCTTTACCTTATTTTCATGTATGTCTGAGATTTGATCATTAGATTGGTTATGATGATGCAAAGCAGGAAGGATATCACTATCTACGGATCTGCGTGGAGAGATGCAGAAAATTGGTCCAGCAGATTACTATCGAGTACATTAGTATCAATAAAAACAATTAACAAAAATCCACAAAACTATACGATTAAAATTGCTCCAACAGATCATTCCTATGCATCACAAATCAACTGTCAAACAGTTGGTGAGCAAACTAGAGATGCTTTGGAGTCCATATATACTTAAACAATTCATTTCTACATGTCACAAACCAAACACTACTACAAAAATAGTTAAAGATCACACTTTGACCAAAAAAAATATAGATATGAACAAAAAACAACTTGAACAAATCTGGCCTGGCAAGATTGAACAAAAATCCAATTCAAAATCAACATAAACAACAAATTTGAGCAGAATTTCAACCAAGTAATCTGCATTCCATTATACTACATCCAAATTCAATTCCAATTATGAAAAAATAGAGAATTAATAAGCACGTGTATATGCAATTGTGCATACAAATATGTATATACATATGTTATATATACATAGAGAGAGAAAGAAATCATCATCCAGGTAGAAGATTGTTGATGTCCCGACACCGTAGATCTAGACCCACTGACCCAGCAAGGTGTACTATATATTCATTTGTATTGATTAATTGAAGCACTTCTATACTACTATTTCTAACATATCTAACACCACTCATCTGTTATTGCAACTCAAAGAGCAACATTAATTTATAATAAAACTCATTTGAAATCAAGAAAAATTCAAATCCCAAACCCCATTTGACATCAAGAACATTAAAAGCCATCTATTTGACGGTTTTTTAAGGTGAAAAAGTCTTACTCAAATGAATTTTGCAATCTTTTCACAGCAAAATAAATGAATAAAATTGCTTGCAGGTATGTGCATAGAAAATACTAAAAAGAAAAGACCACATAAAAAACAACTCAAAGGAAATTTATATAATGGTCTCCAAAATCAGAAATTCATATTAATAAAAATCAAATATTACATTCAAATTTACCGAAAGGAACCCAATACACAAGGAAAAATATATTAAAGAAATAACTAATTAAGAGGAAACAAAATGAAGTACAAAAGAATGGATAGGGTTTTAGGGATTTCAAGCCATACCTTTTCAATGAGAACTCTTTCAAACAAATAAGCTACTGGAAAAGACAGAGATCTTCAAGAAGCCTTCGAAAGCAAGAGACGAGAGTGAGAGATGATAAAGAGCAAGAGAACGAATAGAGAAATCACAGATACAGAGAAAGGGAGAGGGAGAAACCATAGATTCCAAAACAAATGTGTGCTTCCTCAAGTAATTCCAGTACCTGCACAAGTAAAAAAGTTGAGATGAAATAGAGTAGTTTTTATTTGATATTTAATGCCCATATTCCAGTAAAAACATTTTTGAACCTCTACATTACAAACCTTGAGAAACTAAGATCACTTGCAAGGGGGTGAGGAAAAACAGCAACAGGTGGTGATGTTATGAGCCTGTTATGAGCCCCTGGAAATAAGCAATTATATCATTAATTGAAAATAAGTGGTGTAGCAGCTAGAAAATGCAAAATTCTGAATATAAAAATTCCTTGTGACAGTTCATTACGTAATGGTGGGAACAGAAACACCAAAAGAATTTATCACTTATCAACTCCTTTATTGCAATTCAAATATGAAGGATTTTAAGTTATGGGATATGAGACCTGAGACATGATTTCATCAGGTTAATACTTCATCACTCTTGCAACTGCAACTCTATTTCACTTTTCTGGCATAGATTTTCCATCTCACAGAATTTAAACTACTAAATGCAGTTTGAAAGTAACAGTACATGACAAAGTACAAGCATTCATCTCTTCCCATATCACATGAATTATTTCACCAAGACAGCTTCAATTTAATAGTTAGCTGGAAGCAAAATTCTACATTCCATAAATTTGCCAAAGATTACTTCTACATGTATTTCAACTAATAATTGCCTGGTGCAATGGCAAGGGTTCATGCTATCGAGCATGAAACACGAAGTTGATTAATAAAGAAGCCAATAAGTTAGGCTTGTGGCTTAGAATTTTGAGAAGCCTAAGAGACATTTTATCAAACAGCTTGAAAAAAAACAAACAAACAAACAAACAAACAAACAAATCCTTTGTTATAAGAATCCAAATGGAAAAGCCATAACAACTTCCCAAACCAACAATTCATGGGGGGCCAAAGAAACAAAGTGAACTCAAAGTAGAAGAGAAATAGAAACCAAAAAAATTGATGGAAGCCATTAATGGGAAGCTAGAAATAGAGCAAAAAGTGAATGACCCAATATAGTATTATGCATTAGAAATCATATCTCCAATGGATGAACGAGAACTATCTATCACAATTAGGGGTGTGCGCGGTGCGGGTCGGTGCGGTTTGAGAGAAAAATAGAAACCGTATGGCGGGTGACGGATTGATAAAAGTGTTACTAGAATTTGCCATTTTCCGGGCGGATTGGCGGTTTATAAAAAATATAATTCAAATTACAAAACTTAAATCAAAGAGTAAAAAAAAGGCGAGAGATACCGTGATGTTAAGCATCTTGCGAAGCTTTCTTCTGATGCAACAAGTGTAGCAACAACATGATAATATCAACGACTATGCCATCAGTTCATTACAAGCATCTGTGGAAGCTACAATGATCAAATACAATACATAAAATTAATATTATTCAAGATTTACAATATATTGAAAATGTTTACTGTTGAAAAGTATTTAGGGCTAGTTTGGCATGTACTAAATAAGTCAAAAAGTCACTATCTTATTTAAGTCACATCATCTTGTTTAAATCGCATCACCTCTCTAACACATCACATCAAACCCAACCCAAACCCACCAATAAGTCAAAAAGTGCACTTTTTTAAGACATCCCAAACCAACCCTTAGATTGAAAAGTGAGCTGATGCAAGTTTGCAACATGGCCAGAAAAAAAAAAAAAAAAAAAGATTGAAAAGTGAATTGATAAAAGTATCACTAGAATTTGCCATTTTTCTTACAAAAAACCGGCAGTTCGATGGGCAAATAATAACGAATTTGTCTTGGCGGTGTGGTTCGGTGCGGTTTCGGCGGTATTATGCACACCCCTAATCACAATGAATCATTAGACATTCCACCTTTCTTCACAAACTTCGCTTTTTAAAAAAAGACTTTTTATAAATAAAAATAAAAATAAAAAGATAGTTTTTTTATTTTTAACTTCAACTGCACATTTCAGTAAAGAGAAACTTTGTATTGAGAAAATGCTTCAGAAATTTTAATGTTATTGTCTTGATCATAATTAACACTGTGAAGTGTTGATATCCTGGTTCAAACAGCTAAACCATTAGTCATTTAGAAACTGAGAATAATTGTAAACAAACAGATCAACATGTAAATCCATTTAAAAGAATAAAATAAAAGACCATGAACCTCTTGCAGGCTTTCCTTGGCAGATTGGGCAGCATTGCTGGCCTTGTCCATCATCCGGTTGCCCTTTTGCTGAAACAAATATAACAAACATCTGCACATCAGTCTTCTTTTTTTGTGCTCTTAATCTCCTAACAAGATGAAAGAGTTCTGACTAACTAAACTAACTAGTTAATTATGTGCATCAATTAATATGTGCCATGGATGTTGAGAAGTACATAATTGGAAAATAAAGAAGATAGGGAAAGCCAATTAAGCTCACCTGGGCTTGGCCATTGGCCTGGCCAGCTTGATAACTCATGTTCTGTGAACTGTCCATTTTTTTCAAACTTCTTGGTTCTTGGTGTAACAGATAATATATGCAACTATTGCCCAAAAACTCTGAGTTGTGGAGATCTCAGAGTTACTCAAATTTATAGTTTTTGAAAGCAATCCATTGCTTGACATGTGTACTAACCATGTGGAAGGAAATTGGACAGGTGTTACCTTCTGATGAAATTTGGGCTTTTGTCATTGGACAAGGGAGGGAGATGTTGTGGAGATCCATTATTCACTATCATCAGTTATTCTATCCAAAGGTGGTTGAGATTTTAGAGGAGATTTGAAGAGTTATGTTTAAAGAAAAGGTTCTTGTTTATGGCTTATGATATAGATATATATAACAACATTGGAAGTTGTAGCCTTGGGAAGGGAGAGCTTTGCCTAGATTGAACCACTGATATATTTAATTAAACATGAATGGTTGGAAGATTTTAATTAAGATGATTTTTGTTGAAATACATAGGAAAGATTTATAAGTATTCAAAGCATATTTGGTTCATTATATGGCATAACAAATAAAGCATATTAAAAAAAAAAATTGTGCTTGTCTATTGGCACACTTGTATATCTACCCAATGTCATTCAAGAAGGGAAAAACAGAGCTTGAGCATCAACAACTAAAATTTCCTCTCATCAACTGTATAACTCTGAAGCAATAGAAGGGGAAAAAACAGAGCATGAGCATATATAATTTATATCAATCTATACTCCTTAGAGGAAGAAGTGTAAGCATATATAATCTATATCAGTATACTACTAAAATTTTCCATTAACTTACCATAATATTCTTAAATTGTTCAGTACCTTAAATCAATTGCTATCTACCTAATAATACTATATATATATACACATATAACTTTACTCAGCAATTTAAGCAGTTCTTCACGATTCTTAAATAGAGCAACAAAAGTTTGGAATTAAACACAACTTGGAGCTCATATATGCTTCAAATGTAGAAAAAGAGTAAAACCCTAAAATGATTTTATCAAAATCCTACAGCATCAAAAATAAAATAGAACCCTAGATCCGAGATGGTGAAACAGGGAAATAGAGGAAGGGAGAGAGAGAGAGAGATAGAAAGAGAGAAAAACCTGAATGTGGCTGGGAGGGGGACCGCGATGGTGAGCGACGGTGGCGACAGCCGGGATGGTCAGCGGCGGTAGTGAGAGCCGCGATAGTCGGTGGTGGAAGTTCGATGGTAACTGTTAACAAGGATGGTGAGTCGGGTGGTGAGTGGGGGTGAGGTTTGGTAGCGTTTGAGACAGAAGTATATATCGTGTGTGTGTGTGCGTGTGTGAGAGAGAGAGAGAGAGAGAGAGAGACAGAACCGAGTGTAACTATATCGGGCGCCAAAAATAACTTGTTTCCCTCTAAAACAAATACTACAACCTTTAGCGACTTAATAAATTTTTGGTCGCCAAATAACAATAGATAACAACTAAATATTTTGCAACCAAAGATTAAGCAATAGCGACCAACATATTTTTAGTCGCTGAAAGTATTTTATAAATCCCTCCAAAATATTTAAAATATCTCCCTCCAAAAATTTTAGTGCTTTCGTGACTAAATTTTTTTTTTGTCGCTGAAAATAAACTTTTGGCAACCAAAATTTTGGTCGCCAAAGGTAAAAAATAATTTTTTATTTTTCATTCGACAACTAAATAGCTTAGTAGCCAAAACTCAATATATGACGACTAAAATTCTTTTTTGTGGGTGAAAATAAACTTTTGGCGACCAAAAAAGGTGAAAAAATAATTTTTTATTTTCCATTCAGCGACAAAATGATTTTAGTAGCCAAAACTCAATATATGGTGACTAAAATTTTTTTTCGTCGCCAAAAACTAATATACCCCGACTAAAAAAAATTAGTAGGTAAATATTTTACTTTTTGCAGACTAAAAAAATTAGTTGGTTGCCAATTCCACAACTTTTGATGATTCAATTTTTTTTAATCGCCAATTTTGATCGTCGAATATGCATTTTGTTGTAGTGTAATTTTTTAAAAATTATCAAAATACAAAACTTAAACATAGTATAATAATAACCTGTGACATACGCGGATTTTTGTAAACTAATATATATATATACGCACATGTTAATTGCTTTCTAGGTTTTTATGCCATTCGAGAATTTCATGTCATGAATTATTAATCACATCACATGCCTTCTAATTACGTTAATAGTTTTCAAAATTGTGTTTTTCATAAAGTTTGAAATTTTGATTTTCCTTTTGGGGACTGATTCATTGTTGTTTGATTTTATTCAAATTTTCAATTAATAATATAATAAAAAGTAAGGATGTTGATGGTAATGGTGAGTTTTGGTGAGATGGATTGGAATATTGAAATGAAGAAAAAGGAGAAGAAGAAGAGAAAATAATTAAAATTCGGAAAAGAAGATGAAAAGATTTGAATAAAAAAATACATATAATTTATTAGAGCATGCCACGATAAAAAAAATTATTTTTTTTTTATTTTAAATGTTTAATATGTGTTGGAATTAAAATTTTAAAACTTGAATTAGACGGGCTGGGATAAGTTTTTGGGTTCAAATAAAACGATTCCTGTAATGAGCATAATATTCAGCTAGCCCAATTTTTATAGCCCAAAACAAAGTGAAGCCCATATATTGAAAATGATCAGCCTAACCCAAAGTTAGGCCCACCTACTTACATTCTCAATAAAAAAAACCCTGTAGACTGTAGAGTGAGAGAGAGAGAGAGAGAATTTGACCTAAACTATCAAATCTAAAGCACACTATGTTTGATTTATAAATTTGGATAAAAATATATGTCAAATGTAATTATATTTTATTTATATTTCACTTACTTTTTCTCTTTTTCTTTTATCTTTTCACATTTTTTTATAAATTCATAAACTAAACAGAACTTTAGGGTCCATTTGAATGATGTGTATTAAAATGCATAGAATTGAAATTAATTTTTTAAGCATAATAACTATAATTTAGATTTGATAATTCTATAAATTTCAAGATTGGCTTAAATAGTTTTATCACAATGAATTTGAAATAATTCTAAAAATTATCAAGATTCTTACTAAAATAGATTTATTTTATTTGAACTTACATTTTCATAGTTTTTCTAATAGTTAATTCTTTAATATTTTTAACTTCAAATTCCTTTATTTGATATTCACATCTATCCAATGAATTCCTTCAAAGTGCATGTCTGTGGATTGAGGAATGTTATATATTATTGGATTATTTAATCAAAGTTTTCACTTTTATGTAATTTTTGGTAATCTTACTATTTTTCAAATATAATGAATCTTACACATTAACTTTCCTTGAGATTTAGAAAAAATACAATAAATCTTATATTTTTGACATAATTATATTAACATTTTCTTGGGCAAAGTTAAAAGGATCAACATTAGTGCAGTTAATATAAACACACAAAGACAAAAATATAAAATATATATTTTAATATAAAAAAATAATAACATTATTTTTACATAATTAATGAATTACTAATAAAAATAAATACGAGTACTATACAAAATAAAACTTTGAAATTTTTTAATATAATCAAGGGTGAATTAATCTTACCTCCCTTAAAGTTTCTGACAAATATAAAGACATTCCCTATGGTTTCAATAATTATAAAAACCTCCTCTACTTTTACTAACAATATCAAGATTTTCTCAATTAGTGATTAACATTACCAAAAGTAACAGAAGTTGTTGATGTCAGTAAATATAAATCCTGAAATGCCAAAAATGCCCTTGGGTGTTTTCAACTTATCTATATATACCAAAACTAATTGAACTCCATCTTCAACAAAGTTTATCTCCAACAAAGTTTAATAAAATAATAATAACAATAATAAAATAAAAATTCAACCATTATTGAAGGTTAATTTAATAAAAATAATTTAAATGAGATAAATAAAAATAGAGAAATAGATTTTAAGTGTCATACATAACAAATTAATTGAATATTTTATTATTCTCAAATAATTTTTTCATTTAAGTAGAGTTTAATTATTTGAATTATTTAATATTCTCAAATGATTTATTAATTATTCATTCCCTATCAACTAATTTTAATTTATTGTAACGAGATTAGATTTTATTTTTCCTTCTATATTTATTTAATAATTTTTTTTAATAATATGAAAAATATTGACCTAGGTTCTTTTAATTATGCATCAATTAGAAGTTTAAGGAATCAAAGATAATAATTAAAATTTAAGAATAATATATAATTGTAAAAATATAATTTTTTTACATATGAATAAATAAGTATTGCAAATTGTTGGGAAAAAAAAATAAATCCATTTGTTTCAACTTAAAAAAGAAAAAATAAAAAATAAATTTAACTAATAAATGTATTACTTAAAATGATAAATTTAACGTTATTTATATAGTGTGGAATAAGTTTTATATTAAAGAGGAATTTGGTCAAAACTCTCTCATAATAAAACTTTAATGTATTAAGGACAAGTACAAAAAATTTTCTTGAAAAGTCCAATAAATACCATTATTATTAAAATATTAAACTTTAAAATAATATAACTTTTGATGTAAATGTCGATTTTTAATAAAATTCGTATTTTTAGAATTCTCTCATTAAGATCTATCAAATAAGATCAATGTTGACTATGAAATTCTTTATAAAAAAAAAATTATTACCGTCAAAATTGATATAAATAGTAATAGTAACATGTTACTCTGTTTAACAATAATATGTTATTCTGTCTCACAGTTACATGTTATTTTGGTTCATAGTAATATGTTACACTGGAAATATTGTCTAAGAAAAAAAATATATATATATTTTATTTTGTCCTTACTCAATTATGTGCTTTCTCCTTATGGGGTTTATGAAGCAAAAAAAATGGACTGTCATTTTCACCAAACAAGAGTTCAATGGAGGAATTTTGACTAAATTTCCCATTAACGATTTATTATACTTTATACCTCTGATCTATCGTCAAATTGTCTATTTAGCTCTTGAAGTATCGATTGAGTCTATTAAGTTCCTAAAATATATAAATCAAAGTTTATTTAGTTCTTAAACTATCAATTGAATCTTTTAAGTTCTTAAAATATTTAATTCGAACATATTTAATCCCTTAAAAAAATTATAAAATTAAAATATAAACGCATAAATATTATAAATTAGTAAAAAAATCACATCTAGTTAAAAAAAAATCTTAAATTTTTATTTTATCTTTGAAAAGTGAGCGTCAATTTTTATGATGATTTTTTTGCCAAGTTATTTTTATAACTTAATTCATGTATTATTTTGTTCTATTATTATTTGTAGCAAAGTATTATTATTTAAATTATCTAACTTTACTTCTTCCATATATCAACACTTTGTAAAGAGAAAAAAATCAAGATTTTTCTCTAATAAAATCTTAATTAAGTAAGGTCTTTTACTAATTTATAATACTTATGGAAATATATTTTATTTTTATAATCTTTTCAAGGACTGAATATGTTTGAATTAAATATTTTAGAGATTTAATAGATTCAATTGATAGTTTAGGGACTAAATATATTTTGATTTATATACTTAAGGATTAATTGTATTCAATCAATAGTTTAGAAATTAAGTAAATAATTTGGCGATAGTTTAGGGGTAGAAATAGAAAGTGTAACAAACTCATTAAATTATTACGGTGTTAGCTTACATTAATTTTAGATAGATTATTTCTTTTTAAGTATTTATCAATGAAAATTAATTTTTTTTCATTAAATTTTTTAATAATATCTTAACAATTTAAGGATAAATAATTTTTTTACATATGAATAAATACGTAGGACAAATTTTTGAAAAAAATTAATCTATTTGTTTCAACTTAAAAAAAAGAAGGGTGAAGCAACAATAAATTTCAAAATGTGATATTGTGAACTGTTTAATCCTCTCTTTTTTTCTTATGAACTCAAAAGCCTCATTAAAGTGAAAATTACACAAAAGGGCAGTTATTTACACGTTTGAGTTTAATTTTTTAAGGATAAAATTGAGTTTCTCTAAATATAAAATTACACATTTGGACAATCTGCATTATAAAGGTTTTGAATTTTTCCTCATTCTAGAACAAATCCTATATTACAAATACGAATGTAACACTTTAATAACGAACACTCCAATGTAACACTTATATTTTTTCCGAACGTAACATCTCAATACAACACACAAAAAAAACTCTTTAATATATTTTTTTTCCAAACATAACACTCCAATCGATGTAATCCTAAATGTAACACTCCAATATAACTCACAAAACACTAAAAAACTTCTTAGTGTACTTTTTTCAAATATAACACTCACAGTTTGAAATTATACATTTACTCCCAAAACACTA